ACAGCCAAGTGGAGTCACTAGGAGTATAAAGAAAAAAGCTGGTAATTTATAGGCTCATGGGACTGCAAGGCATCTTGGAAGCTGTCAGTTCAACCTCTCAATTCACAATTTATTCTGCTCAAGCGTGCAGCAGCCTTCGAGCGTTGAGCTCTCTACCAGAATCACTCTCTCCATCTGTAATAGATCTGGGAATGCATGAGATGGCAAGTCTCTGGGCCTTGATGTTCTTCTATCTCTTCCTTCTCCTTGCTGTGGAGCTTGGGTTGGTGGCTGTGGGAATGGGAAAGCTGACATTCTTCTACTCTGTTTCCATCAACCCTCAGTTTAGGGAAATATAATCACATGACTCAACATAGCCAGGGGCATGGCATGGTTCATTTCTCTCCTGGGAGAGAAGGTCAGAGGTCAGAAGCCTAGGTGCCAGGGCCAGGCAGGTAAAGGGTGGGTGGAGTAGTGGCATATAGGTTGAGGGATCAGTAGGAGTGTGGTGAATGGGAAAACATGCAATGATGGTGACAGGTGGTACTCAGTGAGCCCATTTCAGCCATGTGGGGATGTGGACCTAGCCTTGCCAAATCTTTCCATTTTTCCAGAGAGGCTGAAATCCGAACTTTTAGGAAATTTACCAGTTTTTAAAACATCATGTGAACCAACTAAAATATATCTGTGAATCAGATTTGGCCCACAACATGACCATTTGTTACCTCTGGGGGTTAAAGACTTTTCTGACTTGCCCATTTAGGCCCATCTGACATAATGATAAATTAAAACAAAGCAAAACAAAAACAAACTCAGGGATAACAATGACATGACATCAAGCAAATTTGGAAGGTTTACTGAACCTTTGCTGTAGATGTATAGTTAATTTATTTTTTTTAATTTAATTTTTTTTTAAAGATTTTATCTATTTATTTGAGAGAGAGAATGAGATGGAGAGAGAGAGCATGAGAAGGGGGAGGGTCGGAGGGAGAAGCAGACTCCCTGCTGAGCAGGGAGCCCGATGTGGGACTCGATCCCGGGACTCCAGGATCATGACCTGAGCCGAAAGCAGTCGCTTAACCAACTGAGCCACCCAGGCGCCCGATGTATAGTTAATTTATATTTAAAAAAAAATTAGGGGCATCTGGATGGCTCAGCTGGTTAAGCATCCAACTTTGGCTCAGGTCATAATCTCAGGGTCCTGGAACTGAGCCCGGCGTGGAGCTCCGCGTCGAGCCCCTGTCAGGCTCCGTGCTCAGCAGAGAGTCTGCTTAAGGATTCTCTTCCTCTACCCCTACCCCCGCTCATGCTCTCTCTCGCAAATAAATGGATAAAATCTTTTAAAAAAAATTATTGTGGGAAAATGCACATAACACAACCCCTTGGCCCCTGCAATTCTACTTTCTGTCTCTATAATTTTGCCTAGTCTAACTACCTCATATAAGTGGAATCATATATTATTTGTCCTTTTGTGACTGACTTATTTCACTTGGCACAACATCCTTAAGATTCATCCATGTTGGGGCGGGGGTCAGAACGTCCTTCCTTTTTGAAGCTGAGT